TTATGCCCTTAGGAAAAGGATGTACTACAAAATGTATTTCTTTCAATGCAAAGCTTATTACAAGATCCTATCATTAGTAAACACAGCTTGGCATAAAAGTACAGAAATGTTATGTTAAAGAGGGACATCGCCTATTAGCCTGTGTACAGCTATTTATTTAATAACAGGACGCAGTACAAAATAACATTGTTCCAGTGCCTTTATTGCAGCATTTACATTTTTTATTGTGATATGTGTATAAACAATTCGTTTTTCCATATGCTGTGACAGGACTATGCATTAAATTGGATTTAAATACTACAAGATTATAATTTGCCTATTCTCGTTCTTTTGTACTATTAGTGGCATGTATATATTGGATTTTCTGGATATGGTAAGAGACAAATGGTATGAAATGGTAAGAGACAAAAGAGGAGATATATCATAACACAAATAAAAAAAAAAACAAGAAAAGTCTTAACTATTTTATGTGGCTATGGGGATATATGGCTGGATATATACCTGTGTGGCTATAAGAATGCATCCATGATATTTTGGAGTAGATATTTGGTGCGGTCAATGGTAGCAATCATGAAATTTCCTTTGTTATTTTAGCTTCATAGCTCAAACTTCCAGGTCCACGATTTCGCTAAAATCATGGACCTATATACAAATATAGCTGAATCTACATATCAAACCACCATATCTGACCTTTCTAGATTGAGATGTTGCACCCTGCTGGTAGACTTAAAGTATATTACTACTCACTATTATCTGTCATCTGATTAACAGACACACTGATGATTTTCATCTGGAATTTTTATATTTCATAAAATACCCAATCTACAGATAATCAGATATGTTATACTTGAATATTTTATGGCTATTATTGAATAATGAAAGGGCGGTTGGTGCAAATGGAAAGACATAGAACGAAATCTAGAGGAAGTCAATGTTTGAAATTATTTTTTCCCTTCAATGTTTGGTTTTCTTTCTTATATAGACAAACATCGAGATAGATCAGAAGCAGTTGGCCCATCTGTCCATGTATCCATATATTTAAGTATTTGTTTTCCAACCATCCTGAACCTTGGACTTGGCAGTTCTCAGTATGAAGATATAACTGTCAGACCATGTTAAAGGTAGGAGGGATATATCAATAAACTTATATGATAAACTAAAATATTGTTGCTTATCAAGCTCCTTAAATAAATGAAATAAATTCATTACTAGGGGTTCTTTCCGACAAATTGACTCAGGATAGTAGACTGATAAAACCATTTTGTGTTTAACTATAGAATTCTTTAATACGTGTACATTCTGCATTAAGTTCCCTATTTCTGGATGTTCTATATGCAATTCTGCCACATTGTTACATAACCCACATGAAGTAAGTGGGGTCACATGTTCACCACAATCATTTAATGACTGGTTCCTACATAGTACTATGGGATTTACTAGTTAAATATCCTTACTGACCTTTAATGGTATGGAAAGATTTGTGGATGTAGAAAGTTTTATATTTATCTGCATTGAATAAAATAGTATTTCTCTATGTAATCCCAGGGAAATGCTGTTGTGATTTTTCAGGGATATTATTGTCACTATCTACACACCATAAGCATAACTGCATTTAGCCTCATTACTATCTTTGGAAATTCTTGGAAGCCAGTCAAGGTAGGAATTCAAGGCCCCAGTAAATGCTCAAAGATAAACATATAATGCTGAAGGCTCCAGTGGTTCCTCATCCATTCAAGAATGTAACACATGTAAGTAAATCTCCCCAGAACTCTGCTTTATTTACATATGTAGTGTTATTCCTAAATACGGCTAGAAATTGAGCTTCCACTCTTCACATCACTTTCCGTTCTTCCATCTCTCTGATTAAATCGGTGCACAATTATAATTTAACCAAAATGTATCTATTTGTCAGAAAGATGGCTAAGCGCTAATAATTCAACCAGCAGATTACTTTAGGCAGCAAACACTGAGCAATTCTCTTAATTCCTTAAATAATGGAAACTAAAATTCAACAAGAAAAAAACAGATTGTGCCTAATAGTAGAAAGGATGTATATTTAAATGAGTTCAAAGAGCACAATCCAAGATATGGAGTATTCACCAAATGGCCTTGCTTCCTTTAGTTATTAATTCTTTATCTATGGGTACATGTAAAAGAAAAAACAAAAAACAACCTATGGTGAAAAATTCACACTCACATAATATGGAGCTTCAAACAAGCTCCATTAACAGTAGCATGTAGTAGTGTGGATATAAGTGCCTTGTTAGATTTCCCGTAATGGAATTTCAGTTTGTTTTTCCTTATATATTACTGTTTGCCAGGGACCTTGTAATACACTCGAAAAAGCCCAGGTAAAGGCGGAATGCATTGTGGATTGTTTTCTTTGTTTTTTTTTATTTTATGTTATAACCATAAAAGCTCTTTGGTTTTATCCTGATACTTTTATTGTTAGTAGTCTTTTTTTTCTTTTTTTTTTCTTTTTTTTAATATATTTTTTTATCCCTGGCATACCAAATGAAGCACTACCTAGTGGAGTCTGGACTCTTATCCTTGGTGGGAATTATACCCCCTATGCTGAAAGTACTAAGCAGTCCAATTGCTCTCACAAAAGTGAGTTCAATACTATATCCTAAGTCCATTGCTTTATTTCAGTGAGCGCTATATTGTTTCTATTTTATATTTTACCTATTCAGTCGAGGAGATAGAGACCAAAAGAAATCCCTGAGGCTGGGATTCTACTGCCCTAAGTGTAATGCTTTGAGCATAAGATGAGTGCTCTACATTTTATTTATTACCACGCAGTCTGTATTGGCAATACTGCACTATTGCACGTATTTTCTCTGTTATTTCATATCCATCATGCTTCTTTGACTGGAGCTTGTTTGACGCTCCATATTAAGTGTTGTGTGTCCTCATTTACAGAGAAGTACTACACCATAGGTTGTTTTTTTTTCTCTTTTACAAGTACCCACAGATAATGAATTGATTACTAAAGGAAGCAAGGTCATTTGGTGAATAATCCATATGTTGGACTGCACTCTTTGGACTCTTTTATATTTAATTTTACATTCTTTTTTTCTTGTTATATTTTTATTTATCCATTCCTAATCACTAGGTATATGCTCTCTTGAAGTGGCATTTGTACATATATTGAAATGTCATAGCAATGGGACAAACTCCAAACAAGTTTTATTGTTAGTTTTCCACAATGTGTCTTTGAAGATATGCACCTATACACATTGATCATTAAAGACAAAGATCCCTTATATACAAGAATCTTTGCTTGGTATGGTTCATGTTTGGTTGCAGTTTTACAAGGTTATGTTATACAAGAAGAGTCTATTAATTTTTTTTATTATTTGCAAACTCACCTTGACCCAATGTGAATGCTAAATGAAGACACATTTGTTAAATTTACTTGTCTCACTCTGTATTATTGATTGTCGAACTATAAATTGTTAAACCTTTTTTTTTTATATTTCATTTTTGTGCACTGACCTGCTTTCTTTGAAGTCTCCGAATGATGCACTCTTGTTTTGCAGCAATGGTATTAATGAGACCCTCTGGGATGTTTCAAACCATCTGCTTCCAAAAATGCCTGTTCTGCAAGAGCTATGGATTTAAATTGTTTTCCAGATTTAATAGTTTTTCTGTGTTCACAATCTTACTATAAAGGTTCTATATCAATATTGATGGAGCCAGCTGCCATGTTTGCATTTGAAAACTTTTTATATTGATGTATTATAAAACAGAGGTTTATTTAATTTAAGAAAAGCAGCATAACCATAAAGTAAAATGCATAGTTTGTTGCCTATACTACATTGATTAACAATGTTTTGTTTTGTTTTGTTTTTTAATTACTATTGCATTTGAAGAGGCTTGCCCACACATGTTAAGTTAATTTTTTTATGGAGCATTTTCACCTAGATTTATAATGTTCATGGTTACATCTTGGGACATTGAATATCTGGAATGGTTTGGGGTTCTGTTGTAGAATGTGTTTTTCCTCAGCTTGGAGAGCTGTTTTGTGTACTATCATGGCTGATCACCAGCCATGTTCTCGTGACAATTTGCTTTAATCATTGGAATTTTTTTTTCTCTAATATGAAATATATGCAATGAGGCTCATTGTATATGGATAGGGTTACCATATCCGCCAGGTTTTCAGGGACACATATCATGTATAGATATTGATGGGCAGCACATGAAAGGGGTTTCCCTGCTGTATGTAGAACTCAGAAGAAGTTTCAACTATAAGAATAATGTTCGATGGATTTATAGGGATGTATGTAATCTTTTTGGTCCATGAAAAGTTACCAACATACTATTTGGCTGAAAGGTATGCATTTCCTTTGCTTATATGTATTGATGTGTGTGAATGCCTGTATGTTCTAATAGCTAAGTATTTATTATGCGTATTTTGTATCTATATATATATGTATATGTATGGTACTGGGAATGTCTGTGAAAGCATGTGCATAGGAACTGTGTGTGTTAAACCGCAAATAATATGTGTGACAGAACTTCTGTACTCCGAATAAGTACCTCTACCAGGTCAGCTATCCCTCTGCTACCAGGGACTCCGGAGTACGCAAACCCAGTTGCTAAAGCTTGACTGGGATCTCTGAGGAATTCTTCCACTGGACTAGGCTACAGCTCTTGTCTTCCATGCAGGTATTTTCCTCTCTTCCTTTGCCTCCTCTAGTTCTCTCCCAGGCAGGTATCAAATGTATCTCTGAACAATCCAGACAGAGCACAGAGTTCCCAATGGAACATACAATTGTTTTATATATAACTAGCCTTTGGCTACTTGTCCTTAAACATGTGGTGAGAAGCCTTTAAAATACAAATTTGCAGGATATTTGAGAACAAGCAATTATAATTATTACATGAACTATATAATACAAGTAACTCTTAGCAATGTATTAACTATCCACATACTTCAGGTGGAATGGGTTTTCATCCACAGTTTTTTCTACACCACAACTGTCTTGGGGTGGGTGTGTGTGTGTGTGTGTGTGTGTGTGTGTGTGTATATATATGTGTATATATATATATATATATACACACACACACCACTTAACAAGTTGAGTTTTTGCCTAGTAAAGTTTCCGTTCATAGATTTACACTCCTTCACAAAATCACATATGGCAACACAATTTAAAAAAAAAAAAAAAGGAAATTGTAAATTCACCTATCTTTTAGGGACATATATATGTAGCAACTTCTATGAGTCATAAGTAAAGAATGTAAAGTCAGTTAAAGAAGTTATTTTTGTTTCAATTTCAGTAACAGGATATGCAGATATTGTTTTTCATATTACACAAGCCTTTTACAGCTGTTAATATTTGTGAGAAAATATTAAGTTAATGGAAAAGAAAAGAGACCATTATAATGAATAGTATTTTCTTTATTATTATTTTATAGAGAATATGTTGTGGGATTATGATTGTATAAATTCTGTTCTTTAAATTATAGTACTCCTTTTTTAACTTAAATAAAATATCAACTAAAAACCACAACATAAATTGGAATGAAAACATTTGTAAAACTCCTGAGTCACATTGTAACCGGAGCTTACCCACTTCCAACAAGACGCAGATACCTCAATGTCATATCTGTCACATTTAGAAATGCAAGGATTACTTACGGGTATCTCCTGTTCAATACAAAATGTTAACCTATGTCTCCCCCATGTGTGAGGCATTGTGTAACTTGCATAACAATTGATACATGCATACTTGACACGTTTTCATGTGGGACCTCGTGTTTACCTTACTTTGTGGAAACTGTTCTCATACAAAATCTTCATAAATAAAGATAATTTTCTTTTTTTTAAAAACTAATTTGGATCAACTAAAATTAATTCAAACAACATTTAAAAGGCACATTACTATCATAAATAGTAAGAAGGTGGTTAAAATTATAAGTTAGTCCAAAATATAAGCAACTACCATACTCGGGAAGGAATTCTTTTCTACCCCAACACCAAAAATGTAAATGTGAAAAAAAACGAAAACTTGGGGGAATAATCCCAAAATACACGCCTGGAGTGTTAAAAATTTATAGTTTAGTGAACTTTCCATTTTTTGCTAAGGGGTGTAAATTCTCATATGTAACATGAAAAAGATCTGGACAAAAATAAATTAAAAAAAATTATAAAATCGCAAAAAAAAAAGGAAAAATAAATGAAATCACAGTTTAACAGTGTTATTCCCTAATATATATATATATATAAAAAAAAATTCATATAACTTTTTATTTTTAAGGGCTTGTCTGCATCCTGCAATTTACTATTAGAGCAAATATTTGATCTGTGATTATTAAAAAATGCAATTAATATGGAATTCCTTGGGATTAGCTGCAGCTTGCTGATATTCTTACCTCGATTCATTCTTTTTATCCTTTCTGTGACAGCTAGAGGTCAAAGAATTATAGATTTTGGAAACAATTAGCTAATTAGAGAATTCTATTGTTTCCCACCATAGCGATTGTAGATTAAAACACATTGTGGATTGAGAGCTGTTACTAGGGAGATAAGAATGAAACTAAAATAGTTGGTAAGTCGTTTGTAGTGCATCATGCACAAAGAGCCACTGCTATACATAATATATATTAAATAACATTCTAATGATGGAATCGTGGAAAAGAGAATATAGTCTGCATATAAATTATTTTTCCTCTTGGTTTATTTGAATTTGTAGTGTATTACTTTAAAAAAATTAATAAAAAAAAAAAGTTGGTTTAATATAAATCACTTTATAAGAAAATCCTCTTATTTTTCTGTCTTTTCAACAAACAGCTCTGATGAATAAATAAATTAAAAGCTTGGAATATTTATTCTAAAATACACGAGACTGAATAAAATCTCAAATTCAGCACTGCTGGATATTTTTATCCAATTCTGCTTTTTTTTCTAGTCCTAAATTTGCAAGTTGGTTTGAAAATTGCACCATTAGCTGTAAATAAGGCCCTATATTTATCACAGATTTATCACAATGGATATATCTATTCGAAGAACTTTACAAAACTATATTAAATACTTAGAGCTGGATTCTATTGCAAGTGATAAATATAACCTTGGTATATTTGGTTCTCCCAATGATAAATATGGGGAAGTTGCTATATAGAAACACCTCACATACTAGACACAAGGTGAATGGATTGGGGGATGTATTGATCTGTTATCTTATGGAACATTTTCCACTGTTATGATACAGCACAGATCTATTTGAGATGCTTTGGAATGGGTACCACTCCATAACACATACAGTGATATTTTGCACACTCGTGGTTGTGTATTTATTAGAATTGAGCACATAGAAAAAATTTGGTTCAGCCGAATAGATTTGTCTCCCTCCCAAAACATTTGTTGGTCTATTCTGTGTTTGTCCATGTGGCGTATAGGTTTAGACAAATTTCACCAATGTGATAGTTATGACTAAAACATCCAATACTGACAGTTCTGCATTATATATAAATATAACATGCAAAGAGAAGTACTTGCAGGAATTCATTTGCAAGAAGTATCCGTCTCTCTATATTGGGATAACACTGCACTAGGCTGTATATAGATTTACAGCGACATTTCAGTCTTCTATTAGGACTTTTATTACGATATATTCAGCCAACGCATGAAATGCTTATAAAGGCACCCAAAACTAAAGAGAGGGTGACTTAGGAATGAGAGAATGTGTCAGTCCCAAATTGGCTTCCCTTAAGATATAGGACTTAATTTAAGATCCTGATACTTGCTTACAAATCTCTACACAATGCTGCTCCGACCTACTTATCCTCACTAATACACAAATATGTCCCATCTAGGCCCCTACGCTCTGCTGGAGACCTATGTCTAACCTCTGTTCGTACTCCTACCTCTGATGCTCACCTTCAAGACTTCTCTAGGGCTGGCAAACCCAAACTGCCCATCTTGCATACCGGGCAAATGCTGGGCAGATCACAGGATCTCTCTGGCCAGTCCATGCAGGGCCAGGCCCACGCTATTCGAGCGCCGGCCCTGCTGAATGCTTTCATGAACCGGTGGGGAGATCAAAGCTCAAAAACCTGCCCCCCCCGCACACAATCCCTCAAACATATTCACACACATAGCACACTCACACTAACCTCACCCTCACACAGCACACTCACACACATGGCAACCTCAAACACACACAGCACCCTCAGACACTACACAGCACCCTCAAATACACACAGCACACTCACACTAACAACACCCTCAGATACACACATCCCCCTCACACACACACATCCCCCTCACAAAAACACACACACCCCTCACACAGCACACACACAGCACACCCACACACACATCACACTCACACACACACACACATATATAATATATAAAATAACGCTCAGTGAGTTAACAGACAAAGAAAATTACAAACATAGAATGTTACAGCAGCCTCACAAACACTGCACCACTCAGACACACATGCTAAACCCTTCATACATACACACAGTACACCCAATACACTGCGCCCCTCACACATACAATACGTCCAAACATATATATATATATATATATATATACTACAGCACCCCTCATACTGCACCACTACACACATTACGCTCCAGATACACATTAGATTCTTTACTCAACTCCGCATCATCTAGTCTACACACACATACACACACTAGATCCCTATATACACTCTGAATCTTCTACACACATACACACACACACAATCTCCTATACACAATATGGGCCATTTACACACTAGATCCCCTACACACACACACACACACACACACACACTGCACCACCTACATACTACATTCCTGACATACAAATTCTGGATTTCTATGCACATACTACATTCCTGGTAAGCAAACCCATACTACATTCTCTAAACACACACTTTTGTCACCTATATACACACACACACACACACTACAGTCCGAATGCACACACTCACTACATCACCTATACACACTATGCCCCCTTAGCCACACATATTACACTACAAACACGAATGATATTGACCTATTTACACAATACCACATCACAATCAGCTCACTCTACACACACGCAATCCCACAAGCAGGCTCCAAACACATGCACGATACGCTTTCCTGGCCCTTTTGTCCTCTGGTATCCCACTTAAAAGCAAACACAGCGCAATCATGTTATTAAATTTGCTTGTGCTGTGCAGAACTAATACAGGGCCTTTTTCTCATGCTAGAGCTCTTCAGCGGGGCTCTACGCATTGAACCAACATGCTCACTTTGAGAGAGAGCGTGTGTAACGGACCATTTCAGCACACAAGGTGTTAAAACCATTTAGGCGATCGTCCCCTTCTCAGAGATGCAGGCACAGCTACTGTTGAACACCAAACTCACGAACCGCCAATAAGGGAATGCTCCAAACTCCCGAACGGCATACAATATAGCACTCCAAACGCACGAACTGGAACCATACGAATAGCTGCGAGCAGACGAATAGGAAAAGCATCCAAGCGGCTTACACTCCTAGCAATCAGTCTCTATCAGCGTTCAGTAAATCCCCCCAAAGACGAGACAAGGCTCCTTGTTGAGGGTCAAGCAGTGGTCTGTTTAATGAGGGCTACCTGCCCAGTATTTATGCAGGTCTCCCACCTGGTGGACATTCCCCTAGGGGACCAAATGGGAGACTGTGACAAAAGACAGACAAGTAGACAAATAGGACACACAGTCACATTATATTGCCACAATGCATCCTGGCTTCCTCCCCTCTGCCTTGGAGATAATTGAGAAGTAATTTAATTATCTCCCAAGACAAAGGCAAATCGCCATTATGCACGTGGGGATACTAAAACATGAATTACTATTAAAATACACAGTATGACACAAGTTACAATAAAACTATACATTTAACATGTCCCCAGATAGCTCAGGTCTGAGCGCACATTATTAAGCGAATGGCGCTCAGACCACACGAATACAGTGTAATCGCCATGGAGCCAAAGTTTTTACACAGTCAGTTCTCATGTGAATGGGCTCCATGGGATTCCTATCTGGGGTATAACATAGTCAAGTAAAACTACCGAACTGTGTCCTTTTTTAGTTCCATGAATTAAACGTCGAACAC